GGGGCAACAGGAGCCGCGGGCTGCTCTGGGACAGCCGGGGCCGCGGGCTTGCTAGGAATAGCAGGCTGGCCGGCAGGAACAGTGGTCTCCTTGGCTGGGGGCTGGGCAGTAGGCTGCTCGACGGGCTTGACGGTGGTAGGCTTGACGGTAGGCTTGACGGTGGTAGGCTTGACGGTGGTAGGCTTGACGGTGGTAGGCTTGACGGTGGTAGGCTTGACGGTGGTAGGCTTGACGGTAGGCTTGACAGGAGGGGGCTTGGGGACGGGGCAGTCGCATGGCTTCTTGGTCTTGCAGTCGTCGCCGGAGCAGATGACCTTGCGGCCACAGTCCTCGGTGCACATCTCGGGCTTGCACGAGTCGTCCTTGCAGACGATCTTGCGGGGCTCATTGATGATGTTGCAGATGGAGCCGCGGCACTCAATTTTCTGGTTGCACTGGTCACCCTTGCAGGCGCGGAAGTTGCACTCGGAGCCCTGGCAGACGACGAGCTGGTCGCAGTTGACGTTGTCGACGCAGACCTGGGCCTTGCAGTCGTCGCCCTGGCAGACGACGTGGTAGTTTTGGCAGCCATCACCGACGCAGGTCTGCTGGCTGTTGTCAATGTTGATGCAGTAGTCGCCGTAGCAGTTGATGACCGTATCAATGTTAATGTTGACGTCGCCGGATCCAGGGGTGGAGGTGGCCGAAGCAGCGGCCGTGGTGGTCGCGGAGGTCGTGGCAGTGGTGGTCATGTTCATGTTCATGAACCGGGCCGTGGCGACGTGGGCGGCCGCCAGGAGGCTGAGCGTAGAGACACGCATGGTGATCGAAAGCGAGAAGCGATAAAGTCCTCTGTGAACGAGTGAGTGGGCGAAGGCGATTGGTTGGCTAGCGAGTGCGAGTGCCTGTGATGTGATGATGAGACACCAGAAGCTGTTTGAGACAAAAGACTGCCTCTTATACACATCGTGGCCCCCTCCACGTCTCTCTTTCAGAGTAGAGAGCTTCCGTTTTCATTTCGCCTTCACGAGCGAAGAGAAGCATCCTGCTGGCCGGAACCGGTCGAAAGCGTCCGTCTAGTCTCCAGCTTCCGTGGTTTAGTGTCGAGCTACCAAGCTCTTCGGCTGCTCGCCAACGGCCATAAGGCGTTTTCGTCTGTCCAGAATCTTGTCGCATTCGGACAGGGAGTGCAAACGCTCCGGAACTGCGTGTGCCTGCGGATCTCCGGAATGCGAATCATATAAGTGACGAACCTTATTCCCGCCGAGGCTGCCTTAACAGGCGCCGCTGGCAGCAGTAGTCTCTTGGCATGATAGGGGTCTGCAAGCGGCCGATGATTATGGTTTGAACGAACAGCGTCGGGTGTACTGGGGAAGAGACATCCTCTAGGCTTCGGGAGGACTTGGGTGATCCATTTCGTGAAAAGCGATGTCTGTAATGACGAGTGTCTTAGATGGCTGCATTCCAGACACAGCTATGAGCTCCCCTTTTACTGGCGAAACCGGGCATGGCCAGAGTCAACTCTCAGAAAATGTCTCAACGTGGAGAGCTCTCTGGAATGCGTGAGGTGAGACGATACGAGAGACGCCACTGCGAGCAGACTATCTCATTCGACGATTGCAGAAGGCCATATGCGGCCTCTGCAACGTATCGTTGGACTGGCCTGCCGACGCTGCTTAACACGGATCATGTACGCGAACATTTGAGAGGGCTGTTTTCGGGTTGAGGCGAGCACTGATTGCGGGCATCGTTCTTTCGGGACGGGCAAAGCCGTTGGAGGTGAACACACCAGCAGCCATACCCATACTGCAAAGGATCCAAGTGGAGACGCAAAGTTCTTCAGGGCCTGTTTTCGTCCATGGGGGATGATGTGCGGCTCATCTACCTGTACGCATATGTACTGCGTTTGTCGGCTATATCTCTTTGCTCTTGGCACATCTGGCATTGGCTCCGCCGGGCCTTTTTTGACTTACAAGCTCAAGCCACAGACCGATTGCAGCTCCAGGGTTTCGAATGTGTCCGCGCTCGGACGACCAGAACGCAACGCAGCGCCAGGCAGCAACCATCAGATCCGGACTCCGGAGTCCGGACTGCGGACCGGGAAATATGGGTCCTGAACCGATGTCCGCCTCCGGTCGGGTCCCGGGCTTCGGGTATCCCCCGTGACGCTTCGGATCTCCTCACGACCCCTCCGGCTAAAGATGGCGGCTAAAACGCACATGAGGAGCAAACAGCAGTTTGCGGATGAATTCACGGCACGTCTCACGTCATCTGGCGCCCGTCAATACTCAAAATGCAGCTCCCCAAGCATTTCATCATTGATCGCATCAACAGCATCGCCCTGACCCCTCCATCATCGCCGCCATGCCTCAAGTCCGCAATCCCATCCTGCCCGGCTTCAACCCCGACCCCTCCATCTTGAGGGTCGGCGAGGACTACTACATCGCCACGTCGACCTTTGAGTGGTGGCCTGGCGTCCAGATCCACCACTCCAAGGACCTCGCCAACTGGGAGCTCGTTGTGCGACCTCTAACCCGCAAGTCCCAGGCCGACTTGCGAGGCGATCCGGACAGCTGCGGCATCTGGGCGCCCTGCCTGACCCATGACGGCGACAAATTCTGGCTCGTCTACACAGACGTCAAGCGCAAGGACGGCTCCTTCAAGGACACGCACAACTACATTATCCACGCGCCCGCGATCGAGGGTCCCTGGTCGGACCCCGTGTATGCCGACTCATCCGGCTTCGACCCCTCGCTCTTCCACGACGAGGATGGTCGCAAGTGGTTCAGCAACATGATGTGGGACCACCGTCGTCGTCCTCACCTGTTCACCGGCATTGCTTTGCAGGAGTTCGATCCCAAGGCCGGCAAGCTCGTGGGCCCCCGCAAGAACATTTTCCCCGGCTCAGACCTGGCCTTTGTCGAGGGACCGCACATGTACAAGCGTAATGGGTGGTATTATCTTCTGACAGCCGAGGGCGGTACGGGCTACAGCCACGCAGCCACCCTCGCTCGTTCGCGTGACATCTGGGGTCCGTATGAACTGCATCCCCAGAAGCACATTGTCACTTCCAAGGACGCGCCGCTCGCAGCGCTTCAGCGCGCTGGCCACGGTGATATTGTCGACACGCCCGATGGCAGGACGTACATTGTTCACCTCACAGGTCGCCCTGTTGGCCAGAAGCGACGATGCGTCCTGGGTCGCGAGACAGCCATCCAGGAAGCCTACTGGGGCGACGACGACTGGCTATACGTGAAGAATGGCCCTGTTCCATCGCTTTACGTCGACGTTCCCGGCACGCGCGACGACACCGACTACTGGTCTGAGAAGAGGTATACATTCGAGAATGGGCTGCACAAGGACTTTCAGTGGCTGCGAACACCAGAGCCCGAGCGCATCTTCTCCACCGAGGGTGGTAAGTTGACACTCATCGGTCGCGAGTCCCTCGGCTCGTGGTTCGAGCAGGCTCTTGTTGCTAGGCGCCAGACACATTTCTCCTTTGACGCCGAGACGACAATCTCCTACGCGCCAGACGACGAGAGACAGTTTGCGGGTCTGACCGTCTACTACTGCCGCTACAACTTCTTCTACCTCACCGTGACGGCGCACACGGACGGCCAGAGGGAGCTGCTCATCATGAGCTCCGAGGCGTCATGGCCAGGTGGCAAGCTCGAGAGCCCAGGTCCAGCGGCCAAGCAGATCCCCAACGACGGGAAAGTCAGGCTGGCGGTGACTGTGCGTGGGGCGGCGCTGCAGTTCTGGTACGCGCTCGAGGGCAAGGAGCTCGAGAAGTTTGGACCCGTGTTCGATGCGACGATTGTGTCGGACGAGTGTGGCGGACACCAGGTCGACGGCAGCTTCACGGGCTCCTTTGTTGGTGTCGCTGCGTCGGACTGCAATGGGCTGGCCAAGTCGGCTCAGTTTGACTACATCACATACCGACCCGTGGAGCACGAGTCGGATCGATACGAGCCACGTAGGGAGTAGATCATGGGCAACTATCAATCAAAAGACATTTTTTGCAATCATCATTCGTATCTACACGCTCATTCGGGGGGTATACATGCTGTGATAAGGAGCGCGCCACAAGACCAGCTTGCTTGGGGCGATCTATTACCTCGAAACAGGTGTGAGGTGCACCTTGAGCTCGTCTTTCTCCCACACGTCAAACACTCTTTGCCGTGACATCCAGTCTTGGCAATCGGGTGAAAGCTCCATGTCGAAATTGTAGATAATGCGCGCCATAATAGCACGCATCTCGAGATAGGCAAGGCTGCATGAAGTCAGAAGTCATTCGTCATCGGGGATCGGGAAGAGGTCTCACTTCTTGCCAATGCAGGCGCGAGGACCGACATGGAACGCTTGGAAGGCGTCCTTGTTGTCGTCCTTGAAGCGCTCGTCGTCGAGGAAGCGTTCGGGATGGAACTCGTTCGGCAGCTGAAAGTTGTCCCTGCGGTTGTGCATGGCCCATTGGTAGATGGCGACGACGGTCTAGACTTGTTAAATTTCTGACTGAGAAAAGTTCAGGTGGGGGAGTGCTCACATTCTCTGGGACAAACTGTCCGCAGATGGTCGCACCACCAGCAGGGACAGTCCGAGGAAGGCCACTGGGCGTGGGAGGATATGCGCGCAAGGTCTCGTTGATGCAAGCCTGCAGATAAGGGAGGTTGCTAACGGCATTAAAGTCAATCTCCTCATCAGAGTTGAATGCACCGCGGATCTCGTCCTTGAGCTTCTGGTGGACCTCTGGGTTCTTCAAAAGATAGAAGGTCATGCCAGACATGGCTGTCGCCGTGGTCTCGGAGCCGGCGACAACGAGGGTGTTGGCGTTGGCCTCGAGTTTCTGCATGTTCAGACCCTGAGCGTGTTAGTAATGAAGACAGCATCCAGCACATCGCAGGCTACTCACGATCTTGTCCCGCCTGTCGAGCAGAGCCTGGGCAAAGTCGGCGCGCGTCTCGACCATGTCCATCCTCTTCTTCGTCTTCTGAACGGCCATCATGTACATTTGAATCTGTTCCTGGATTGACTTCTTGGGGATGGACCTGATGATCATCTTTTGCAGCGTGGGCCACCAGCTGGCGCCGTAGAGATAGGTGCCTGTCTGGGCCAGGTTGAAGAATGATCGGACCCAGGGGTGGTACTCGCCCGACTCGAGGCATCCGAAGGACTCGCCAAAGGACAAGTCGCCAATCACGTCGAACATTGTGTAGTTATACCACATAACCATGTCCTGCGTGGTGACTCCATTGTCACACTTCTGATGCAGACGCTCAATGAGGAGGTCAATGTACGGCTTGATGATAGTCTGCTGGTCGCGAATGCTGCGCTCGCTAAAGCCATGCGAAAGGGCACGACGCAGAGCAGCGTGCTCCTCACGCTCAGCGTTGACAATGTGCTGAGGCGTACCAGCCACGGGGCTGTAGTAATTCTTGTACTTGGGCATCTCGGTGGTTTGATGGCCCACTGTAGGGTCTGTTAGATGGATTGCTACGCAGGACTAGGGGCTGAGGTGACGTACTGATGTCCTTCCATGCTTGAGGATGCGCAAAGGCAAGTTGGTCGGGCGAGATGCGAACGACATCGCCGTACTTCTCATGGAGTCTCAACACATCAAATGGGATGGAACCGGTGACGAGCTTGTACGCGAAGCCAAGTCTGGTCGCGCGAAATACCAATGGCCCGGGGAACTTGTTCAAGGGATGGAAATAAAGGTTGTACACAACCGAGTAAGCGACAGACGCCAGACCCTGGAGAGGACATTAAAGTTAACCTACTGGAGAAGCCAAAGCAATAAGGTTGTCGGCAACAGGCACTTACAATAGCGGCCACGAGGCCAAACAACGCTAAGAACTGCATATTAACGAAATTAAACCGCTTCTAGACCAGCTAAGCGGAGTGAGTCGATGGAAACGAAGGAGAGTGGGTGATGTGTTGTGCGTGCTGCCGGCTAACAATCGCAGAGCTTCAATGACATCCAGATGCCACTTATACGAATGCTTGAATGCTTGCCACAAAAGAGAGCACGAGGGTATTCAAATGACTCTCGCAACATCATCATCTCCATTCAGCTCCGTTGAGAAGAGGCCCGACAAGAGAAAAACTGCCGTATTGCCGGGCACTCATAAGAAGGAATGGCGCCACGACTCGTTTCGAGGTGCCAGAAGGTGGATTGTCTTAGTTAGGCCAAGCAATCCTTAGCAACTTGGCAAGCCTTACGCGTTTTTAAAAGGCCAGGATTATTACATGCAGACCTGCAGTGCCAGGTACGGGACCGCCCTGCTTTCACGGCTCCGAATCGCCACCGAGTCCAGAAAGGAACATGCACTGAGAACGTCCTCTAAGCTGCGTCCAGTCACTCTAGTGCCGTCTCACTTGGCATGCCGTCAGCCAAGCAGGGCATCCCCTCGAGTCACTTGAACAAACAGCTCACGTTTGCCCCTGGGCAATTGTACCTCCTGCATCAAGGGACCTCAATTGCGACATGGTATCGTGGCTCCCCACATTTGATCTGCTGCCGGACGATGCCGACCCGTCCAGGATCGGCCCTCAGCTTTCCTCAATCTTCAAAGCGCTTTCGTGTCGTCTGGCTAGCATTGTGGCTAGATTCTCTTACGAAACCTGCAAACAGAAGTGCGCACTGAAAGAGACCAGGTAATTCCCCAGAGCCAAGGGGTTGGTCATGGGTTATGAGACCAGGCTCTCGTGCAGCAGCTGCCACTGCTGGACTGCCTGCACAATGGTGACTTTCTCCGTCCACTTGCTCACTGCTGAAATCATTTATGGCGCCAAACAAATTTGTCACGGCATGAGAAGCAAAGCAAGTCCTAACTACGCTCGGCACGGCAGATCCGAAAGGCCGACAATCCTCACCCTGTTGGGTGACAACGGGGAACCGAGCCCCGTGTCTGGACGGACGACGCACGAAACGTAGTCCCAGCCTGCGCAACCAATTTCCGATAGATTGGGCTTATTACGTCGAAAGCTACGCACGTACTTTGCAAATGTGGCCTTTGTAGAATATTGTTAGACGACGTTTTCTTTTCTATTTACGGACAGGTTCTGCGCAAGAACGGCTGCGAGGCAACGAGCTTGCAGGTCTTCAACACAAGAAGTAAAAGCGGACAGCAGGCCGCCAGGCATCAAGCTGGTGAGGCTTTGAAAAGGTTCAGATCAAATGACAGCCTACATAATTAGTCGCAATCTGTTTCCACCGTCGCCGGATCAATCATCAAATAACATTTAGTCATAAAGCTTTCCCAATCGCTGGTAATTTGCGTCGAGTACAGGGTAAGCCAGCGGCATCATGTAACCATCCAGATTCTAGCCTCAAGCCACCCCAACGTCCAAATGGATTGCCAAGTTTCTCCCCTCGTCATGACTCATACTACCACCCTTTATTCTCTTACTCTTTAGAGAATCCCCCGCTCCGTCACAACAGACCCGACCATCATTCAAGCCCTGTGCCTGGCAATCTCCTCCTCCATGAGGCCCCAGAGGCCCCAAGCTCTGTATCCTGACAGCCAGTGGTTGCCCTGCGTGTCCTTGCCAACGACAATGATGCCGTCGCTGAAGTTGTACGGGCCCTGCACGCTCTGCACATAGGACGGATACAAAGGCTCGCTCCTGGGGTTCACGGCCGCCGCGGACAGATCGGTGGCAAACATGTTGGACTTTGACCAGTTGGAGAACATGATGAGCTGCATCCCGCTCTCGCCAAAGAAGGGAGGCGCGCGGTTCGCCGGGTCCTCGCGGACGAGGGACGTGTACGCCTCGACCTGCTCGCGTGTGCCCTGCTCCTTGATCGAGTTCCGGATGCTCGACGCCAAGTGACTCAGCGGCTTCTGGAGGACGTCCTTTGCAGGCATCAAGGAGACCAGGAAACTGACGCAGTTACTGAGGAACGGCCGCCCTTCGGGGTTCAGGTCCTTGAGCACAGGTCGGAATTGGTACGCTTGCTGGACGGCGACGGTCGTTTCCGAGTCCCGCGACAGACTGGCCGTCATGGCCAGACGCGTCGTCCAGGCAAGCAGCACGTCTCCCTCGGAGAGAAAGGATACATCCTCTTGACCGGCCTCGACAGCCTTCTCTTTGACCTCGTCTAGGGCCTGCTTCCTCAGCTTGTTCAGGAAGCCGGGCGGCACACACAGCATGCGATGTTCCTTAGTGCTAATCGCCAGTGAGTAGATGTTTCGGAGAACCCAGGTTACAAGTCCCAGGGTGTACACCCTGTTGCTCGCGAGCGCGTGGGGTTGCGGCGCATTCTTGCCAACATTCTCCAAGATATAGTTGTCTGGCGCGAGCGGCTCTGGGATCTCATCTTCCCTCCCCTGGAGCATCAGCATCCACGCATCAAGCAGCGCCTTTTTGGCGGTGGCGTCGAACGCAAGGTGAATCCAGTGGAGGACCACAATGGTCTTGTTCTTGAACGATACCACGCGCAGCCCGAGCTCAGGCCTGTCCGAGTATATGTAGTCGTTGAGGCCTTTGGGAATCGCAGGGCCCGAGTAGAGGTCCACCAGCTTGTCGGGGTCGCCTACAACGGCTGGGTAGCCGTCTTGAGGTGGCTTGGGAATGTGTGACGCGGCAGGATGGTCCTCCAAGCTCACATCACTCAGGTCTAGATGGTCGTATCCGATGGCAGGACGCTCTTCGGAGTACGAGACGGGGATATGATGGTCAAGGTCACCGGATGCCTATCCCTCGACAATTAGCCCGACTGTCAATCACTGACCAGCATCACGTCCATTAAACGAAAAAAGGAAGCATTCTGCCTACATTTCTGCGCACACGCGCACCCAACTTGTTCCACCCAGGCCGCGCGACCACACGCTCCAGTGACGTGCGCAGCCTCTCCGGATCGAGGACATCGTCGAATGCAAAGAGGGTGTATAGCACAAACGTGCGAAAGATGATGGTATTGTCGAAGAACCCTACGGGCACCACGCGGTCTGTGGCGACCCGGGCAGGCGCTGCTGGCCCGCCAAATCCAAACATGGCGACGGCGACGAGGTGTGAAGTTATCCGGATGCTGGGAACGAGGCTCTCATTAGAGCCTGTATCCGTGCTCTGTACGTATTACTTCGTAGATAACTTCATCCCGCGCTCTTCATCGTCGACATGACTCGAAGGGGCCCCCCTCGCCGCCTCAGGGTTCCCCCCTTTCGCCAAAGATTCCGGAGATGATACTGCGGGGCCTGACTGGCTTGGCTGTGGGACCAGCCAGGGCTGGGGGTTGAGAATCTGACACGTCGCTCGGAGAGTCGTGTCCATGTTCGAGATAATCATGTGTGCACTGTGGACGGGGTTGTGTCGATTGGAGCAAATCTTCCACTCCGAGTAGGTATTACTACGGATATACAGATATATGTTTTCTTTCCTCATGCACAGGACATGCGTTTCTAAAAGTATTTAGCCAGACATCCCACCTTCGTCTCTCCGCGCGTTCACATCTCGAAACGTTTGGCCTAACCGTTGACGGCGGCTTGCGCTACTGCATGATTGACAGACGCGCCATGGCACTTTTCGAGGCCACGGTACGGTACTTATTAGTATTACTAGTACTGCCTAGTGCCTACATACTATCAGTGCTAACTAGCGAAAGTCCTGATAGGGCTGGACTTGTTCCCTGGTGAGTAGTCCTCGCTGCATTGATCGCAATTCTTCCCTATTCAATGGTCCAGACATCTCGTGTTTTGACAAGTGCATGACCTGAGGCGACAGAGGACCGTGAGTAGTGGCATCTAACGTTGTGCCGTGGCAATCAGGACTGTTCTGGGATTCGGGAACCAGCAAATCACGGAATGCGAGAGGTCACATTGCAATTGGAGATTATGCCGGAACTCGCAGGAGGCGGGCCGACGACAACCCCTTTGCCCGACTCGAATGAAGACTGTCAGGACTTTCGTACTGTTGGTGCAAAAGCTCCGTCTTAGACCGCCTCGGTGCCCATTGCCCAAGCTCCTTTCCGCGCCAGCAAACGAGCGTTGGAAGCCGAGGGCTGTGCCTGGTAGTGGCAATCAGGTGTCCTGACTCCTGGTCCCTGGCGTTGAGGAGGAGGGGCCTGAATCCTGGCCGAGATGGAGCCATACCCCTGCTGTCAATGGAAGCTATCAGTATCCCCCGCCCTCCTATTATCGCAAAGTGGCAGACAAGAGGGTGCTTCACAAAACACGCAGCGCGGACATGGCCTTAACAGTTCAGTTGCGATCGTTCTGGATTCTGGCGAGGAGAGGTGAAGAAACGGTTGACCACACGAGCGTGCGACAAGTTGGCCCATGTCTTCTTGACTGGTAATTAGAAACTTGTCATTGAGCGTCTGGCGATTCCACCCTGTGAAGTCCGGTCTTAACAGGCCCGGACGGCCCGAGTATTTGTTGAACCCTTGTTCGAACAGCTCAAGACTAGGGTGGTCCGGGGGGTTGCCCATCCCGTTGCCACTTGAATCGTCTGAAGAGCACGCGGATTCTCAGACCTGTTCCGCGAAGAACGTCTTCGGAAAGCAAAGGCCATTGCACATGTGAATTTGGGATCGAATGGCCCAAGTATCCCTGGTCCATTGGCAGTTGCCCGAGGGTACGTACGGAGTAATTACATCTGCCGATGTAACATACACAAACACCCTGGCTGGCAAAGCATTGGGAATAGATTCCTAATTAGTCCCTATTATGGACGAATTGAGCGGATAGAGTGCTTCCTACAGAGTCATCACCCAGTCTCGCACCCTCTTACTGAATCTAATTATCAACCCACGTTTCTTTTCTTCAGCCTTCTCTCGTCGTGCTGCCGTGGAAATTGACCACTATCACGCCCTCGTGGTGTACAGCGACCATCGCCATGGACGCCATGCTATCGAGCCGGAGCGAAGAAGGAGAGCGAATTGCCAAGATTTCGCACAGCCTTCCGACGATAAAGCCCGAAGGCTTCACCATTGTGATACAGGCTGTGTCGTATACCCTTTGCATACTGTCGACCGTCATTGTTGCGCTGCGTATCTATGTGAGGATCAAGCTGTCCGGTCCCGAGCGCGCCTGGGGCTGGGACGACCTCTCTGCTGTGGCGGGATGGGTAAGTGCGGCCAAATACATCTCGCGAGCATGGTGTTGACGATTGATCAGTTACCCTTCTGCCCTTCGGTCGTCTTCCTCATCATGGCGACGTACTATGGCCTCGGCGCCTCCGACAGCCAAGTCCCGGACGGCCAGCTCAAATACTACCAGGTCATCTGCAAGGAGTACATGTTCTACTTTGAGATGATCTACTTTGGATCCTCCGTGCTGACGAAGCTGTCCATGGCCATCATGATTGTTCGCCTCAGCTCCACGACCTTCTTCACGAGAATCATCTGGGGTAATATGGTGGTGCTGGGGATCAACGCGGCAGTATGTCTCATCATCATGTTTGTGAGCTGCTCGCCAATACCCGCCATGTGGAATCCCGACTTGGGATTCTGTCGCATCGAACATGGATGGATCATTATCAGCTACGCAGGGACGGTTGTCCTAGCCATGGTGGACTGGACGTGCGCCATCACGCCCTTTTTCATCTTGGAGGGACTGCAGATGCCGACCAGGAGGAAGAGGTCGGTCCAGGCCATCCTGGGGCTGGGTATCTTTGGAAGCGCTGCTGGCTTGGTGCGCCTGGGGTATTACCACACGTACGACACCGTCAAGTACCCGAATAATTCACTACGTAAGTACAGCGGGCGCGTTCGCGACGTGTGGTGCCTTGACGCTTACGCTCCAACGCAGACAACTTTGGACACACCATTCTGTGGTCAGTTCTCGAGGCGGGCCTCGGAATCATGGCCTGCTCACTACCGCCGTTACGAAAACTGTTCAACAAGCAATTGGGATCTACAGGTGCATCTGGAGGCAAATCTGGGTTGTCAACAAACGAGGGGGGGACGCAACTCAGCAACATCGGAGGCATGCCCAAGGGAGGTGGGATTGCCAACCTCCGGCGCACAGACACTTCGCAGTGGGATCGGTTGGATGACGAACACTCGACGTCGAGCCAACAGTACATTATCAAGTCGACACATATCACGGTCGAAACACAACATTCAGATGGAGATGCGCCGTCTGTTTCGGAAGGGGGCAAGAAGGACAGCAGGCACTGGAAAAACGACACATAAATTGAAGGGCACTATTTGAATCACAATGGAATCGATACATTTCGGACAGGTATCGACCTGCGTGACACAGCGACGAGTGGGACAGGTTATTTGCATGCATGATTTATGTATTGGTAGGTCTGGTGCGGCTAGATGCATGATGCCAGAAGGAAACCCTGAAACTCCTGCTAATACTCAAACAAAATGCTCATCCTTCACAGATCAAACGCCTGCTTGGCGAGGGTGAGGTACGCCTGGCGCTCCTCATTGCCCGCCTCGACGCCAACGCAATCCATGTGCGCCGCGAATCCAGTGTCAACGTCCTGATTCAGCGCGGACAGCACCCCCTCACCACACTGTGAACGGAGGAACCAGGCGCCACTGCCAAAGTTGTAGTCGTCGGCTACGACAAGATCGAGGATGCGATTGAGCTCGGCATCAGGCTGCCCGTCCACGGTGGTGACGTTGGCGACGTGTGGCTCGAGCTTCTCGATGGACTTTGCGTACTTGAGGTTGAACTCGGCCATCTGCATGTTGGCGGTGCCCTGACCAGGACGACCGGGGAAGGCGTTGCGCTTGTACTGGAACTCGCCCGACTCGAGGGCCATGAGGGACATGACGCTGGCCATGGCGTTGGGGCTGTAGATGCCGTACCGGTGGAAGGCTCTGGTGATGTAGGGCGCGGCCTCTGCCGCGGTTCGGCACTCGGGCAGCATGTTCTGAGGGCACTCCTTGGACTTTGGTGCGATGGTCTCGACCATCTCTGGCGTGACGCAGAAGGCCGACGCCATCGAGGCGCAGGTCAGGCAGAGGGCGGCGATGTAGGGGAGCTGCATTTTGGTGGTTGGGCTGGGAGAGACGGATGTGTGTGAATGATAGTAATGTGAAATGGTTCGAAGTATGTTGCAAAAGAGTGTGAAACCTGAACTGCCCAAACGTGATCGTGTCAAAGATGAGTGAGTGAGTGACTGTCCTTGTGTGCTGTTTGATCGAACAAGGTCAATCAAGGAGTACTATTGTGGCTTGATCGTCTACTTATATAAGAACAACGAGACTGAGCAGAACGGAAGTATGGTCAGCACTAAGTACTCGTCCATTGATGTTCCTGCATCTTACTGTTGCGTGGCTCTCGTTGTGTCCATTCTCGTCCAAAGGATGGATGAATCGTGCCCTGGTGTCCATGCGCGCACGATCCAGTCCCCTGCAACGTTGATCGCTGCGCCTGGCCAAGGCCCTAATCCCGCCTGGGTCGCTTGAAAAGGGGCTGCGAGCCAATCAACCTCGCGGACACGGGCCTCACCCGTATTGGCGCAGTCTTGGTGGACTTCTGCCCTTCTTGAAACAAGCCACTGCATTGTTTCATGGTGAACTCTGAACATGACCGGTGCATTTGGCAGCCGGACACCCGACGAGGACCGTGTTCTTTGCCAATTGCGTTGCTGCGTTGCCCCCCGCGCGACGGCACTGGAAACAGGGGGATCTCCCAGTGTTTTAGGCAGCGTGCCTCCCTATACAGTATTGGACAGGGCGGTGAGCGATGAGCGGCAAGTTTTGGTCCTACTGCCAGCGCCGAGGGTTAGTATGACGACTAGGAAATTGCCATTCGAATTCCTTCCTACGCGAATCTGACGGTATCACAAGGATAGGGGTTCGGAGTGCCGCAAGCAAGGGCAGAAGCGACGCTCGGACCGGCTTATTTTTACATGCTGAGTCGCTGACTGCGCCGCTTCCGGTGGCTAATTCTGGGGTCTTGTCTTTTTGAAGATCCAAGTGCACATCGCAGCCCAAGGCGCAGCGTCGTGAGCAAGTAAGCTGATTTCCGTGGGTTTCGCCGCGCGTGGAACATTCGCGCAGGCATCATTCACGACAATGTCGAATTGAAAAAATGATAGCCGTGTTCGTGGGTAGCCCTAGTTGCCCGTGGCCGTGTGAATGCATTCAAGTTTTGTGGTAAGGAGTCATCCAGGATGGGACACCTAATTATGTTGGGAGCAGCGCCGTCCGTTCGCAACAATCAATTGTATGCGGAGGCAAAAGTATAAATTTGTTTACAAATCACTATAATCCAAAAGCCTACATTCCACTTTCTTGAGATAACGGTAGCATACAAATGCTGCAAAAGAATACAGAACGAGGAGAAGATGTACAGGGTAGTTGGTGAGATGGCCACCGAGGGGTTTAGCGCAGGCACGTGACACGACCAGAGCGGGACTGGGACGCGCCTCCGCCCGTGAGACGCGCCAAGATTCCCAAGAACGTAAGAATTCTGCGAATATGCACGGCACGAACGTCCAGACTCTGCGTCTACATTGGTGCTACTGGCAGCCGAAGACCAATTGACCTGAACCAGAGACGTAGGTCGATTTCAGCCCCCCACATGCAAGCAGTGCTTCAAGGGTGGACCTCAAAGTGAGCGGATGTTCGCGATCTGCCATCACCAGCGCTACCAAAACTGCCACACAGGCCCAATCAGCCTTGTCACGGTCGACATACGCCTCTTGAACAGCATGTCCACCAAGAGATCGTGACCGTCGACATTCCTTGCGAAAGAGTTGACTGATCTTGGCCAGATCGACATCTTCAGGCTAAATGGTGCGGTTCGTTTTGATCGAAAGCTCAGGCACATGACAATTCAATGTCGGTGCGCAGGCACGAGGTGTCAGAGTCGAGCATCACCTGGAGACCAGCGCCAACTGTCGCCTTGCAGAAACTCTCCACGAGGCGCTGATATGTGCGCGACACGTGAGCTCGTTTCGCAACGAGCCTTATCCAGCCAGTGTCGCATTGGGCCGTGGGTGGCGGACTGGCTGCCAGGTCTTTGTTTCGCGGAAGGCCAATTTACCGCGATCACTAGCGACTTTGTACCCAAAGCTGACAAGAGATGCCCAAGGCAGGTGATTGCCTAGGAATGTCGACACTTGTACGTATAGGGATGTTTCCTCAGGCCAGAGACCTGGGAGTGGACGTTGACGCTCGGAATGATCAGGTTGCCAGATGATCCGGACAATTAATGAGTTGCCCCCGGCCGACGCAAATGACGCATCGTATTAACAACACCTCACATCATGTTGCTTCTCAACGCGTCAGAAGCCTTGCTGTCGAGCCTGGTGAGCGTGTCGAGCAGCACCATAAAGTCCGCCCTCGCCCTCGTGGCTAGCGGCGAACCTGGATTTCGATGCACAATAGCGAGAAGGCTGGCGCCAATCAAGCGAATCTTTTCAACGTACGGCTCGCCGTTGACCTGCAGACTCCAAAAGGGAGCCTCCTGCATGACGCGCAACATGTCCCGGGCGATTTCCGTGCGACGCAGGTCGGCTTGCTCGAGACTCGTGCCGTGGTAGGACATGTCTTCGAAGCGTTGCGTGATGACCATCCGAAGACAGTGAAAGGACACTTGCAGATTCGCGCATTGGATCACAAGCTGAGTTGTATGCATGAGGCTCTGTCCGCTGGCAGTGGCGAGGGTGCACGACTGCAAGTACGCTGGCAACTCGTCCAGACAAGTGGTGAAGTGGACATATAATGCGTCAAGTCGCTGTCTCTGCTCGACACTGGGCGCCGAGCGTGCCAGCAAGCCAGTGACCATCGAGTCCCTTTGCGTGTCTTGCAGCAGACGGAGCTCAAGCAAGAGTTCGGAAGCGGCTTGCCATAGTTGGAGGTTCGCGTTGAATCCAGTGATGAGACTACTGCTCTGCATGGGCAGCGAAGACGGCGTATCGGGAGACACTGCGGAAAGATTCGAAGACTCGTGATCCAACCCCATGGGGAAGGCGGTCGTGAGGTCGTCGTCAAACGAGAAGCGGTGGAGTGTGATGGGGCGGTTGTTGAGGATCGCTGCTGACTTGTCCCCCATGTACACGATCCAGAATGCCCTGCGGCGGAATTCAGCCTCGAGCGGCGCGAGGCCTTCCAGAGAAGACTCTTTGTGCAACTGCATGACCTGCGCAAGACGGGTGGCTTCCCCAAAAATGTGCCACGAGTACTTGGGCTTTCCCGTGGCATGGATGCAGTTGGAGTGAAAGTATCGTATGGCGATCGAGTTGGCGTCAGGTGACTCAAGATCAGCTTCCAGATAGCTGTGGAGGCAGTCTCGCGAGGCGCGGAGGAAGATGTGGCCAACCGCCTCGTTGCTCTCAGGGAACACGTCGCTCGGTAGCAGGAAGGCAGCCTCTGCGCAGACGGCCGTGATCAGCGTAAAGGCCGAGTCGGCTCGCCATGCACCTATCTCTGTGAGGCTGCTCCCCGAAGCAAAGTTGTCTAGGTCGCTGCGTAGGCCTGGCTCATGGACCAACGGTGTCAGAGGGTAGAGATATTTGAAGAAAAGATCGACGCATCGAGACACAATCTGGTCCGGGTCCGCATTGGCGAGCGACAAGGCGAGAGACAGCCGTTGCCAACGCTGCAGGGCCGTGAGCGGAGGTTGCTCGACCAGTGACCCAGCCCATGAAGCCGCTGGAGATGCCGATATAGAAGCGCCGTTGCCAAAGCCACCTTGACCAGGTTCCTGCATGAGCAGTGTCGTCGAGTTCAGCCTGTCATCTGCATCCTCCTCAGCCTGGGCAGTCGTCTCATCGTCAATGGCGATGATGGTTGACTCTTCCTCGGTTGCGGTCAAAGAGGTGCCAGCCCGATGTCTTGCCTTTGGTCCTCGCCTTGCCAATGGGAGTTCAAAGGTACATGGCGCGTCAGCTAGTCGACAGGAAGAGCAAGGGACCTGTGGGCTCAGAGTATCGCACTGTTCGACATGTCAATTGAGACAGCCATCGCACATGGCGGAGAATGGTCTGACCTTGGCTTTTCTCCGACGGCAGCGATCACACGCTCGACTGTTGAGCGTCCGCCTCCTGGTCCGATATTGACGGCTTGGTGTCGCAGGAGATTCTGTCTCCATCGTGCCAATGCTGGCGACAGCTTGCTTTCGTGGGACGACGGAGATTGGTGAGCATCTACAGGAGAAATGCAGAGGGAAGGATGAGGCAGAGGGTAGAACCGTCGGACAATCGGCCAAACGACAAAAGGTCCAAGCTAAGCTAATGAGGGGGCGCTATGCTCTGATTCTCCGTTCCGCCGGAGTAACACTCCTCCTCCTCACGACCACCCCAAGCACGTGGACCCCACAACCCCAACCACGAGCCCTTTCTGGGGTAGCGTGTGGAGAGAAGAAACAAGCCTCCGGCATTTCACGAGGTCCGGCATCCTTTTGATTGGCGTATAAGTAGGCTTGGGGCGACCAGAGGCCAATGCAAAACCCAACCATCACCGTTTCTACTTCTCAAGGTCCACGACAATTCCTACCATGAAGTCCTTGTTTCTCCTCCCGCTAGCGCTGGGGGCAGCCTCGTCTGCTAAGCCCAAGCCTCCCAAGGACCAATGTCGGTGGGCCCAAGACTGGACACAAGATCAGATCCTGGCGGACACAGACGGGTTCACGACCCAGATGCTTCACTGGGAGGGTAAATTCCACCAGCCTGATGTTGCCTACAATGGCGGCAATGGAGTGTCCTATGACGGTTCCATCTTGGATTGGCACTCTGGTGAGGCCATCTCTACGAAGCCGTTCAGCGCGGCAAGCAAGGAGGTCAGCACTCACCTCATTCGCAGCAAAGGAACTTAAGTTACTGATGCAGATTTGAATCACAGGCCCTCCAGATCATGCTGTATGCGCGCGCGGTCGAGGGATCGCATGATGCGGCCCAGTTCTTGAGCTCTCGTCACCCCAAGAAGGCCCCCAAGATTGCCTTTGATATCATGGAAAAGAAGCTTGAGACATACCTCAAGTTCAACGAGACGCATCCTGGGTTTGGCGGCGCCCTCCCATGGTTCAAAGCCGACATCCAAGATATTGTACCTCAGCCCGACTGGGTCAATCGGGTACCAGCGTTGGACAACGGCGAGCTTTGGTGGGCCGTGTACGCTTGGATCCAAGCGCTCGAGAAGACGAACAAGAAGGAGTACGCAAAACAGGCCGAGCGCTGGCAGGAGTGGCTCGACTTCCTTACTCCCAACATGCTGGACATCTTTTACCGAGACAGTGGATCGATTTGCGCTGTCACCACGATCGGCGACCAGTTCCTGCCGGTCAACCACCCTAATCAAACCTACGAATGCGAGGGCGAAGGCAGGCTCAACGACCCTTACGAGGGAGAGCTCGTGGCCTTTTTCTTCCATCTTTTCGGCGACCTCCCTCAATCCGAGAAGGATGCCCTGTGGGAAGTCAAGAGGCCCCAGCTCGTCAAAGATGAGTATCATCAGGGCAACGTCGGTCCCGTCACTGTCGAGAGGGGATACTGGTTCTCTGGCCACGAACCATGGAAGGTCCTCGAGCTTCCCTATTACGACGTCGACATCATCAGGCGCCTGTATCACAACCATGAGCGCGTCCGCACGTGCAACTCGGTTGTCACCAAGAACCCGGGTCTGCTCGCCTCTGTCAACAACATCACCGATTCCGAGACCAACGAGGTTCTCGGGTACATTTCACCAGCCGGTATCCCCTCGATTGCGAACCAGACAGAGCAGTATCTTGAAGTCGTGACGCCCTATGCTTCCTGGCCCATCATCATGTTTGACAGGGCCGTCGGCCTCGCGTGGTGGCATAACATGGTCTCTGGGAAGAAGATGCAAAGTGAGTTCCCGTCCTCTTTTGGCTAGCCAGACCTAGCAGTAGTGTTGACGTTGTTCAGACCAGTACGGCAGCACAGAATCCACTCGCATCGACGGAGAGGGTGTCTCTGGGATCTTGACATGGGACAGCAAAGTGCTCACCGTCGTGTCCATTCTTGGTGGCGTTCAGGACCTTGTGCGCGACAAGCTGAAGCAGGATGGCATTTACGACGAGTTCATCCGCATTGCAGAGGTAAGAACTTGGCATTCAAAGTGAACGCACAGGGAGCACGCATGGCTGACTTGATCCCAGCGCGAGTACTCGATGGTCTTTGGCGATGAACTGGAGGGCGAGGATGTTGAATTGTGTTTGCCATCCGTGCCAATCACAGATGCTGGGCTGGACGACTTTACGTCATGTGCCCGAAAGTGAGTAGACACTGGCGCAAGGTTTGTGTCAGGGGGTTGTTGGCTGTTTCCAATGGAACATCCCCGTAGATTAAGTTTTCATGACAACAAAGTCTTCGCATTACGACAGATTCCCGCTTGACAGCTTGTTCGGGCGCTCAAACCTGAAGATGTTTCACGTTTAGGCGCCTCAGCACACTCGACAAGAGCATGACTTGTACGGTTGCCGCATGTTTATTGAACATGCTTTGTAATTAAGATTGCTCCATTTTCGTGTTACAAACGATGGTAACGTCATCCTTGATACTGAACACGCAGCCGGTATTTTGCGCCACCGCCAAGTACAATCCCGCTGCTTCGTCACGATGTTGCGCCGACCCGGCGCCGATTGATTGACTGCGTCTCAACTACCGGCACGATGCAGGGTCGCCTGAGACGGGAACCAGCCAATCCCCGTCATGTAGAGAAGCACTCACCCTCCCATGTCATGCGGGGAGGTTCGCGCGGACTTTCAAAGTTCCAAATTCCCGTCAACCAAGCCACTGGAGGCCTTTGACGTTTCATCATTAATACAAGCTTACCCGCAGTTCACACTCTATTCATCGAGAACAGATGCCGCAAGTGGAGGAAATTTAAGACCCCCGGCTCGGGCCCGCCTGAAACCAACAAGTCCCGCAATGCGTGTGCGTTTCGGCCCCATTCTTGCGCCAGTCATACCTCCGCGTGGGATTCCGATCGGGAAGAGGTGGTGAAGATCGCGGACACCACCATCCGAAGACGAGTTCAGGAAAGTGGGCAATGCCGGGATCTCAAAGGCATGTGGCAGAGTATTTAAGCATAACATCTCGCGTGGTTCCCCAGCCCATCGACACACCTCATCGCATTGACAACATCAACTTGCACCCATCTGCTCTTTCTTGGCCAAATACCATCGACACACACTTGATCAACATGTCTGCCTTCAAGATTGCTTCCATACTCGCCGCTGCGCCGCTCGCTCTGGCTTGCGTCGGCCAGGATGCCATGCCCTCGTCTACAGGCCACGAAAGCCTCAGCGAGCCTCGCTACATCTCCCCTGGCGAGGTCTTTGACGCCGGCTTCGTGACCTACGACCGCGGCGTTGCCTGCACCGGCCAGTCCGAGGGTGGTGAGGCTGACACAGTCTTCGTCCTTGAGGAGGGTGCTACCCTTCGCAACGTCATCATCGGCGCCAACCAAGGCGAGGGCGTGTACTGCCTTGGCTCGTGCACGCTGGAGAACCTTTGGTTCGAGGATGTCTGCGAGGACGCCATCTCCATCAAGGGTGACGGCACAGCCGACATTATCGGTGGTGGTGCGTACCACGCCGCCGACAAGGTTATCCAGCACAACGGATGTGGCCATGTGAATATCTACAACTTCTACGCCGAGGACTACGGCAAGGTCTACCGCTCCTGCGGCAACTGCAGTGGCAACTGTGCCCGTTCTGTCCACATGGAGGGTGTGACGGCCGTTGACGGTGGAGAGCTCATGGGCATCAACCCCAACTTGGGCGACACGGTACGTTCTCACTCGAAAAGCAGCAAAGAAAACAGCGACTGACAAGAGTATCTAGGCCACCTACAGCAACAACTGCTTCCCCAAGACGGAGTGCCAGGCTTATGTGGGCTGCGACAAGTCCAATGGTGCCTGCGAGCCCGACAAGGCTGGTCTTTGCTGAAGGACGGTCGATAGTGGATGATACCGATGATACATTGCATTCAAACTTCTGTTCTTTAGTCATATAGCCTTTTGCATCTGTGGAAGTCACAATTGAGCCACTCTTTCCTCCAAATTCTATAAACAGACACTCCAAATAGGCAAGCTATGATTCCTGCCTAACTCACTCCCGGAAGGTCATTCCCCCAACTAAGTCCACAAACGCTTCTCAATTGAGAGCTGATTCGCAATGACGAGTTGTAATGCTGCTCCTAGTGAACAGCCTGGCGCCTCGTCTTGACCATATCCTTCAGTAGCAGGGCCGAGTTCTTCGGTGTCCTCTCAAGGGTCTCGTAGTCTGTGAAGGTGACACCAAATCTGGGTCCGTATCCGTCTGACCACTCCAAGTTGTCCATCAATGACCACGCAAAGTACCCCTTCACAACTGCGCCGTCCTCCCGTGTGGATCGAGCGATGGCATCCAGATGATCCGCAAAGTATCGGCACCGATAATCATCCTTGACAGACTCTTCGCGTGTCATCTTGTCCTCCCCTGGACAGGGACAGCCGTTCTCGGTGATGTAGATGGGTTTTCCGTACAGCTTGTATACGCGGGTCAGATGCTTGCGGAACATTTTCGGGCAGGAAAGCAACCAGTGAAGCCCGCTCGCTTCACCAGCGGACTGTCCTTGTTTGTTCGACTGCAGCTCGTCCACGTTGCCCAGGTAGTCGTCCTTTGAAGGCTCACCAGTACGGTGACGCGCATACTGGGATGTGTAGTAGTTCATTCCGTAAAAGTCCGAGTCTGCCTCTCGCAGCAACGCAAAGTCCGCCTCTGTGAACTCAGGTAGTCGAGACCCCAACTGCTGCCGCATGCAGGCGGGATAGTCCTGCTTCAGGAAGATGGGGTTGGCAAACCAACCAATGTGAAACTGCATTCGTCGCTCTGCAGCCTCGGCATCGAGAGGGTCCTCGCTGTCCCAGGGCTCGAAGAAATCCCCGTTTAAGGAGATGCCGATTTGACCTCCCTGACGTGGCTTGAAGTCACGGTTATACGCAGCGACAGCGCGAGCATGGCTCATGATCTGGGCGTGTCCTGCTATCCACGGCTCTGTTGACGAGTCACCCTCCGAGCTCTGTGGATTTGTGCTACTTCTGCCAGGCGCATTTCCACCTGTTGAGTATCCCTGTCGCATGTTAGCAAGGTGTCCATCCACGAATGCTGCGTTGTCTTGACTCACAAAAATTGACTGGATCCACGGTTCGTTGAATGTGATCCATTTCTGGACACGGTCGCCAAAGCGCTTGTAGCAGACACGAGCATAGTGCTCAAAGTCCGCCTGGGATTCCTGGACATTGAGCCAGCCTCCATACCGGTCATGCAGCTCTTGCGGGAGATCCCAGTGATACAGAGTGACCCAGGGGGTGATCCCGCGAGCGATGAGGCCATCAATGAGTCTGTTGTAGAATGCTATGCCGGCTTCATTCAGGGGATCGTCGCGGCCTCCTTTTGGTATGACCCGTGACCATGAGATGGAGAATCGATAGGCCTGGGCACCGTACCGCTGAAGCAGATCCAGGTCTTCTTCAAAGCGGTGATAGTGGTCACACGCGACGTCTCCATTGGCGCCCTTGGTGCGGGTAGGCTCCAAGTGACAGTAAGTGTCCCATATCGACTTGCCACGGCCGTCTTTTTCCACGGCGCCCTCAATCTGGTAGGAGGCGGTCGCGAAGCCAAGGAGGAAGCTGGAGGGGAGTGAAGCTGACATGGTGAGGGCTGAGAGTCTGGCTGTGAGTTGAGAAATCCTGCTTCCTGACCACATGCGGCTCAGCATTTAAGCCTCTTCTGCAGAGGTTGGCTGAGAGAAGACAAAACCCATCAAGTAATCGATCGTCAATTCTCCGATTGCAATTGTCCTAGCGTTTCGAGTCTGCGTGCTTGGAAAATCTGTGATTCTCCGATTCTCCGATTCACCTCCACTATCGCGGAGTTCTCCGTGCTGAACGCCCCCATGGGGTTGGGATTTCAACAAAGACACTAACGGCTCGGTCAAATTGAAGGCAGCGGGGAACGAATCTTTCAGCTGAATCCGACGTCGCGGTTCAATGCCGAGGGGACTCGCCGGAGCCATATAACACAGCTCGACTCCCATCGTGGTGATGATAATGCCATTGCACCATCGTCAGCTCTTGTCAACATTCAACCTTCCTGGGCCTTTACACTCTTCACACAATGGCTCCATCAGCTGCCCAAGCCACGGAGGGCATCGTGGCACCCCTTGACCCAAAGTCGATGCCCCCTTTTTGGAAACGCAAGAATGGCGTGCTGCTGTACTTCCTGCTCACCTCGTCGCTGCTGGCCAGCGCTGCTCTTGGCATCGATGGTGTAAGTCAATCCTTGTCGGCCTTTGTATATGAAATCACTAACGAGAAGGGTTACAGAGCATGACAAATGGCATGCAAGTCCTTCCGACATGGCAAGAGGAATTCAACCATCCGACAGGTTCCGTTCTTGGCTTCTTCGGTGCGTCGAATGCCATTGGCGGCGTAATCCCCTTTATCTTTCTCAGCTGGATAGGCGACAAGCTCGGTCGAAGATGGCCCACGGCACTGGGCTCCGTCATCATCATTGCGGGAGCTCTGGTGCAGTTCTTCTCGACGTCGCTGAACATGTTCATCGGCGGGAAGATTGTGCTGGGCATCGGCTCATCGCTGATCCAGATGGGCGCGCCTGTCCTGGTCACCGAGCTCAGCCATCCGAAAGAGCGTGTGATGGCAACGACCTTTTACAACACGTCGATCCCGCTTGGTTATGTCATTGGAGCCTGGGGCACCTATGGGTGTTTCCGCATTGAGGGCCAGTGGTCTTGGAAGCTGCCTGTCCTGATCCAAGTCGTCCCCTCGGCATACCAGCTCTGCCTCATTTTCTTCTGTCCAGAATCACCACGATGGCTCATTGCCAAGGGCAAGACCGAGAAGGCACGCGAGATCCTCGTCAAGTACCACGGCGAAGGTGATAGCGATTCCGCGCTTGTGAACTTTGAGTTTGCCGAAATCCAAAAGGTCATCGCCGAGGAACTGGAGCAAGACATGACGTGGAAGGCTTTCTTCTCCTCCAAGGCCAACCTCAAGAGAATCGCGCTCTGCTTCGCCACGGCCGTCTTCAGCCAGAGCTCGGGCAATCTTCTGGTGTCCAACTACCTGACGCAGATCCTCCGAGACACTGGCATCAAGGAGGACAAGGACATCACATTGATCAACTGCATGGTCACCCTCTGGCAGTACATTGTCTCGCTCGCAGTGACTGTCGTCATTGACCGTTTCAAGCGCCGCACCTTCTTCCTGACAGGATCGGGCGGCGTCCTTGTCACCTTTGTTGCGTGGACTATTGCGGCTCAGCAGTACCTGGAGCACGATTCTATCGCTGCTGGACGGGTTGTGCTCGCTTGCATTTTCCTCTTCCAAGGCTTCTATACCTGCGCGTGGACCAACCTCATCGTCACATACCCTCTCGAGCTTGTCACCTATCAGATGCGCGCCAAGACGTGGGCTTTCGTTCTTCTCACGATCCAGGTAGCGTCCATCTTTGGAGGGTACGTCAATCCTGTTGGGTTGGAGAACATTGGCTGGAAGTTCTACATTTACTATTGCGTATGGGTGGCCTTTGTCTTTGGGATTGTGTACTTCTTCTTCGTGGAGACGTCTGGGCCTACATTGGAGGAGCTGGCGTACCTGTTTGAAGGGAGGGAGGGTATGGAGCGGAACATTCAGGAGGTCAAGGTGGTACAAGAAGAGCATGAGGAGCTGGAGTATAAGAGGGTCTGATGGAGGCCCCAGTCGTTTTCGAAGATCGGGCAATATTGGGCCGTTCCTCAAAGTCAGACGATACTCAGATGCATCATATAGCTGAATCGAGTGGAATTGTTGCATTGAATCAGTGACAGAGAACACGCTCGTTGCAACTCGAACCTTCCTTTGGCGGTCCTTCTAATCGGGTAAGGCGCCCTGCGTCCCGACCCGCCTCCTGCTTGAGTAGACCGTAGTACCGCACTACGTGGTAGTCTGTGACTCACCGAAGACTGGCGCCCCGACAGGCAGCTATTGGGGAAGGAACGTCGCAGAGGACTGGAGTTTATTAGGTACCTTACCTTTTTGTTTATTGTGGGAAAGAGGAAGCCACCTTCCCTTTAGAAATATCATCATCACACTGATTTAATTGACTACTGGCATTCTTGGCCCTGATCCTTTCTTACTCCCAACCAGTGTTGCCGTCCTCGAACACCCCCCAGCCATGAGCTTCCGACGTGTCCAGCACGCCTACCGGCGCGTGCCTGGAGAAGATGTCACTGACGAGATGCTGGGAAAAGCTGCTCAGCTTTTCAACGAGAACTACGGGACATGGGGTCCCCAGTCAGATCATTCAGGCAAGCTTACATCCACTCCTTGCACACATCTTTTCTAATACAGAACGAAGGCGAAGCTGTGAAGCTAAGCCCGCGCCGACTTCGAGCACAGTACCTACCCAAAGAAGCCACTGTTATTTACGTCATGGTGACCGTCGATGGGGAGCTTGCTGGTAACGCGTTCGCCTGCCTCTGGCGCAGCGGCGACGTGAACATATGTTGGATTACTCAATTGGTAGTGGGCAAGCAATACCGACAGCGCGGGCTAGCGGTCGGCCTCCTGAGACTACTCAGGGACGACTCCATCGACAGATACGGTATCATGAGTTCCCATCCTGCGGCTTGTCTGGCGGCGGCAAATGCATTCTGTTGTAAGTATTGGCACCATATTCGCGGCGCTGCCGGTCATCCCGATGGGCCTCACGCTGTCCCCCTTCCATGGAGCAGGCTACTAACAACTATAGCCACGATCGAGAGAGTGCCTATCGAGTTCATTCGGACAAACGCTCAAGCTATTTTGAGTTCTTCACCGATTCCCTACGTCAGTGACGCAAAACTCTCCGGTTCTCTATTCGAGTCCTCGAGTACCAGTGGGCTTGTCTCGGGAGTTGATACTCAGTTTTTCGTTGACCACACAGAACCGCTGGAAGTATTGAACGACGTCCGGAAGAAATGGAACTGGCCGTTGGGGGGGTTGCCGGATGGAAACGAGTATTTGCTTATTCTGCCAAGGAAATCACGCCGCTCGCGGTCTCGGTCTGGATCGCACTGTGATACCACAGTGTGATCTTTATTGGTGTGGTATGATGGATGCGTTGATTCGAATTATCTGGGGATCGATTATTTGTTCTGTCGCTGTTGTACGACGTACAATGCTTTTCCTAGGGTTTCCAAAGATATAGTTCTACCCCGAAACCGATACCACATTGTTTGTTGATCGTCTCAATTGCCGTACTAACAGCATGGATATGAACCTCCGCGTCACTCCCGCATCCGGAGAAATGAGAATCGATCAATGATGCTCTGCTCCAATTTCATGCCTGGCTGCCAGCTTTTCGTCAATCATCTCAGCCCTGCGTGCCATGTCGGCGCGCATGTCCGCAGTGTACTGGCTCCTGTCGACAAACGGCACGAACCAAGGCGCGTGCGTGAACATGTAGTTCATCTCCTCGAGCGGCATCTGCTTGGTCTCGGGAACAAAGGCCCAGACGCACGCCGCGTTGGTAAAGTTGCAAATCACAAATACCAGGTAGTACTTCCAGCCCACAGCCCCCATGGCGATGCCAGTAACCTGGCCAATCATAGTGTTGAAGGCGAAGGATGTCATGGTGGCGAGGGCGACACCCTTGGCTCGGGTGCGAGTGTCGAAGATCTCGGCGGGAATGATCCACGAGAGGGGACCGCACGTAGCCGAGAAGGAGAAGTTGTAGGCCCAGGTGACAATAATGAAACCCCAGCCTTGGGCCGGGGTGCCTTTGCCGGGGGGGTAGATGACCAGCATGACTGTGGCGATGATAAAGGTCACCATGTTGAAGAGATTGCCCCAGATGAGAGTCCAGCGACGTCCGAATCGGTCGATGAAGGCGATGCAAAGGGCCTGGGCGATGAGGGCAATGATCGAGTTGATGGCCTGGTATTTGAGGGCGTCGCTGGGTCCAATGCCTGCCTGGCCGTAGATCTGGACGGAGTAGTACTGGATGGCGGACACGCCCGTCATCTGGATCGAGGCTTGAAGACCGCAGGCGATCAGCACACGGCGGAAGCAGGACATGTTGGTGAAGAGTTCCGTGTACGACTGGGCAGCGTTGGCATGCTCCTCGGCAATGCTTTCCTGGATCTGCTCCATCTCGGCGCGGACCCAGGCGTCTTCTTCATTGCCGTTTGAGTGCAGGCGAGCTAGTGTCTTGAGGGCCTGTTCCTGCTTGCCCTTGTCCATCAGCCAGCGAGGGGACTCGGGAAAGAGGAAGATGAGAGCTCCGAGGATCGCAGCTGGGACAAGTTGGATTCCCAGCGGGATGCGCCACTGCCGGTTGTCTGAGTAGGCATTATAGGTTCCCCATCCAGACCAAGACGCGATCAAGGCACCGATGCCAAGCATGAACTGTTGAAGTGCAGTGACAGTGCCTGTTTTGTTTCAGTCAATGTCACCAGTCGTTTGTCCCCTTTGCGCTTTGACTCACCTCTGATGGAAGGATGCGCAATTTCGGCTTGGTACAGGGGAATGATCATTGTCAGGAAGCCAACACCGAGACCAGCCAGGAACCGCCCTGCCATGAGGTACGAGATCTTGGGAGCGACGGTCTGCAGAATTCCGCCCACAATGAAGATAAGACTACCAATGGTGATTGTCCAACGTCGACCTGTGTATTCGGTGGTGGGACTGGCGAACATGGCACCAAAGAAAGCACCGCCTGTGAACAAGGCGACAACGGCACCGCTGCAGCGGTTAGAACAACAGACTCTCTCAATGAGGAGGATACCACGGGGCACTTACGTCTCGGGGTCCGTCTCGGTGACGCCAAAGGTCTTCTGGTACGACTCTGAGGCGATGACCTGGGCAATGACGCCTAGATCGTAGCCGAAGAGAAGCGACCCGAAGGACGCAAACACGCCCACCAAGAACTGGTATATTCTGGGATTCATGGTGATGACAATATTCAGCAGTCTGCAATGAAGTAGTGGTCAAAACGCAGCGAGACTGGGGAGCGCCCTCGGTGTCCTTTAAGTATTCCCACGCGCTTAACGCATTCCGTTTCCCCAGCTTGCGATGGCATGGTTTTGGATATCCTCGTGGACTTTCTTGGGGCACAATTGGGGTAGGATGTAAGCGCTCCAATCGCAAAGCCGAGATGATAGTTTATCGGATAGCAAGACAAGCGCTAATCCCAACCGAGTGTGGAATCCGGGGAATTGCGAAGCCGAGACGAGCAAACCACTTCGCGTCGGTATCTCGGTCTAAGTGAACGCACTTTCGTTGAGCCCATTTCAAGAAAGCAAGCAAGCCAGCTCCATGAATCCGGGATTGAGAGCGGGAGACTTTAGCGAAGGCACAATCAAAATCATGTCGTCGAATGCCTGTGGTCAGTGGTTACACATTGGCTAGATCTGGAGTCCGCTAAGTGGTCGCCTACAGTGGTGGTGGCTCCAGTTGGCTCGGCGCTGCGTCCAGTCGCTGCCTCTGGAGGGAAATAGAGGGCGGGATGAGCCCCTGCTAGCCCCGTTCGGTCCCATGACCCGAAGCATTCATTGGCACGTTGTGCCAAGTCCAGCATTATGTCCAACCCAGTCCGAAAATCCCATGATTGATACCAGCTATTCGTCATCAATTAGACCACAGTGGGAAGTGCATTTACAGAGTGAGAATGTTATCTTGCGACTAGCGCTTCCGACTGCGGACCTATGGCGTCTTTCAGCTTCAGCCTCATCACGAACCATTGGAGCGCCTTTCGAACTCGGGAAAACGGCACCATCGTTCAAATTCAGGTCTCAATCATGCATTTTTGATTCGCACTTGAAGAATTGGCGTCGCCTACGAACGCCATTAATTCATCCTGGTGGTTTGTATTTGCTATGCGTACAAATCAACATTGCTTCCTATTGCAGTCGCTATCCTGAATTGGCCAGTCGAATAATGAAGGGCGTGATCTCTAGACGTATGCTTGCCGAGGGGGGATGGCTAATACGCCAGTGATCGTCTAATGAATTATGCCTAGAGTCATTACCTAACAAGCTCGCAGGATTCAAGTTTGACTTTCCCGCGCTTCTCATCAACATTGAACGGTAGCGCGTTGCGAGGGTGCGTTTTGGGGAACAAACTTGTTTCCGCTTACCCGGGGTCTAATCTTCGAGATAGCCGGCAAGACCACTCCTAACAATCAAAAACGCGCAGATACAGCGGCGAGGTGCTCATCTGGATTATTTGCAGTCACCACTATCTAGAAAATAGATCTTAGCACGGATATGCGAATGTGAGCGTTGCGAACTGGAAAAGGTGGGCAGCTTCATGTCTATAAGGTCCGCAGTACGGACTACGGACTACGGAGGACGCGCTCATTTCCCCACGGGCCACGACTACGGAGTAACCCCGCATTGGAATGGACGGGGGGATTTGCTCGTGCTCTTACCTGTGATCGCGGAGTTGTGGACAAATCCGAAGAAACACCGTCTCCGTACCGGATTCTCGCCCTAGACGAGGCGCCGGCTCTGTAATCTATCAGTTTACTCTGATGTTGTGGGTATGGCTCCAATAAACGAGAAACGCCGTCAAAAGGTCGCAAGCATGGCTGCAAAGTCCAGGAAGCCTGATCGTTCATTTAAACTCCGTCTGTGCTCTAATTTACATGTGCCATGCCTTTCTAGATATTCATCATTTCGCTCGATCTCAGCTTCCACTGCCTTGGCAGCATCACATCCCCCTCTTACAACATGGCTGCTCCAACACCAACCTACCCGCTCAAGGGAGGCCCCCGAACTCGATGGAACATGGAATTTGCACGCAAGGCTGAAGAGCTGAAGCCAACGCTGCGTCGCTGGGCTCGAAGGCCTCAACATGTCATCCGCTTCGTCGAGGACGAGACTCAGTATTTCGGCATCCGACCATCCACGATAATGAAAACAATGCAAGATTTCGAGGCGAGCTTGTGGCCCAGGAAAAGCGATTTCATCCTCGACTTTGGTATTCACATGGTCGGCTACTTGTCCATGCGCCTCGACTCACATGGCTCACACATGGACGCCCCATGCAGGCTGCGACTGACCTTTGGGGAATCGCCCCTCGATGTCACCATGGGTATGGAGAATGTCAAGACATGGATCAGCACATCATGGCTCCCCGACGAGATTGTCAACGTCGACATGTGTCCCGAGACTCTGAAGGTGCCGCGGCGTCATGCGTTCCGCTATCTCCGTGTCGAGATTATTGACATGTCGCCCAAGTGCAAGCTCTCCTTCTCTGACATCTCGTGCGAATGTGTCAGTGCTATTGGACAGTCCGACAAGGTCGACGCATATGCTTTCAAGAACACTGTCTTGGATCGCATCGACCAAGTCAGTCTCATGACACTTCGCGACTGCATGCAAACGGTGTTCGAGGACGGACCTCGCAGAGACAAACGGCTGTGGCTTGGAGACTTGAGGCTGCAGGCACTGGCAAACTACAAGTCCTTCAAGGACTTTGACTTGGTCAAACGCTGCATCTACCAGTTTGCGGCTATTGTGCGGGAGGACGACTCGGTGCCAGCCTGTCTCTTCGAGCATCCTGTCTTCACGCCTTCTGACGATTACATTGTCGACTACGATGCGCTTTTCGCCGTAGTTGTCTACGACTATGTCGAGGTGTCTGGCGATATCTCAATTGGCAAGGAGCTCTGGCCGACCGTCATTGGCTGCTTGAAGAAGGCGCTTTCTCACCTTGATCCTGAGACTGGCCTCTTCGATCCATCGCGCGGTGGCGATTGGAAATTTCTCGACTGGCAGGAAGACCTCGATCGCAGCGCTGGGAGCCATGGACTTCTCTTGTACTGTCTCAAGGCCACCAACAAGCTGGCTCTTCTATTGGGTCAAGAGCCTCCACACGAGCACACTGCCGTCACCATGACAGAGGCAGCCAAGGCACTTCTGAACGATGAAGGTCTCGTCGTGTCAGGCCCCAATGCCCAAGTAAGCTATGCATCCGCAGCTTGGCTCGCCCTGTCGGGTGCATACCCGCAAGAAATGGCGCGAGCTGCATTGCTGAAGGCCCTGGACCACCCTGACGCCATTCAACCTCTGACGCCATACCTCTGGCACTACGTCTGTGAGGCGCTGGCTGACGTTGGATGCAAAGAGGAGTGCATCAAAGTCATGGAAGGTTACTGGGGGAAGATGATCGAAGCAGGGGCCGACACGTTCTGGGAGTGCTTCGACCCGGAAGACCGCACCAACAGCCCTTATGGGGACGTAAGGAACAATAGCTTCTGTCACGCCTGGAGCTGCACGCCCACGTACCTGCTGCGGGGGAAGCTGGCGAGCAATGTCTTGCAGGACCCTGTGCCCAAAGTGATGACTGTGGAGGAGCTCGATGATAGTTGGATTGCCCACACCAGCGGAGAGCTTGAGAAAATTTGATTGAACACAAGAGTCCACAAACAGTAGAATTAGCCATAGGCAATTAGTGCCATTTCCTTGACCATTTATTCCGTTTCCACCGTTGATGCGATTGGGTCCCCAGCGTCTGGATGTGGCCTGAAATCAAGATTCTTGAGCGCCTGGAGGACTTGATGAACTTTTGCGTGCCGCTCATTATACTCGACGCCTCCCCGTGACTCTTGGCTAAGTTCTGACAGGTAGGCCGCGCCAATATCACGGATTTTGACGACAAGGGAATGCCCGTTGACCTCAAATACCGGCTGCGGAAGGTGCTGGAGTATTTCCAAGACATCACTGCACGGGGTCAGCTGGAGTTCCTGAGTTTGTTGGCTCATGTGCCTACCAAATAATATCATAGTGACTGAGACCAGGCAATAGAGAGCCCAGATGCTGCAGAAAGTTGGACTTTAAAGACAATGCTGTGATTAGAATGTTGACCATCTGCGCCTTGTGGCCCCAGACTGGCTGGGGGAAGCGCGTCAGTCCCCCCGTCCATCGCAGATCTGGAGGAAGATTGTCCAGAATATGTTGAATGCGGCTGATTGCGCACTTCAATGTTTCTTCGGGTTGCTTGTGTGTGAGGTCTTTCTTACTCTGCTCCCACGTCAGAAAGACATCGATGAGGCTGTTGAGCCCGGGTATGAAGTGTATTTCGTCCTCGGGCCAGGAAGGCGTATCGGCCGACGATGCCAGATCGGGATATAGTTGGCTGTCTGTGATGTTCATGGGGCGCAGATGCTCGAGCTTCTGGTTGAATGGGACGAATGCCAGATGGGGTTGTCCCTGGATCTCTGATCCCCTGCACATGATATCAGTGATTTACGAAGGACAAGGTATACTCGACATGCACTTACACCTGCCACATGAAGAGCAGCCAGTACAGCCTCTTGAGGCGCTCCTTGTCCGGCGCTGGCTGCTCATCGCCCGCATAGCAGAGCAGCCAGTCGACGCCAGTCATGGCTTCGCGAATGGCGCGGTACGAGCGATAGTTGCCGGTGCCGGCGTCGACTTCGACAGCAGAGGCTACGTGATACCATGCTATACAGTAGTCCAGCGAGATTGGCTGCGACTGAAGCAGGTTGCCTTGCTCAATGATTTCGATACATTTGTCAAAGGTGATTCCCGGATAGCTCTCAAAGCTCTTCCGTCGCAGCGTCGAGATGGTGACGGCGCAGACCGATATGACCAACGCCGCAAAGACCTGATCATTCTCGGATTCCTCGGAGTGAAGACGGTGCAGGAGATGTTGTCGGTGCAATATTGGGGCGAGAGGGTGGACGAAGCGGAACCAGTCATCCAGTAGTTCCAGTATCAAGTGGCTTGGGCCGAGTGATGCCAAGATGTTTTTGAGGGAGCGAGCAGGGTGCCCATTGCCTGTCGGCGAAACTCCCGGCTCTCGTGTAGCTGGCGAGCCGGGATGCCCAAGACCATCGTCCAATTTCGTTGGCGCCGGGCCTTGAACGTGCCTTTGAGTGTGTCAGGGAGGAAGCTGGAATTGGTATACGCATCGATAGACACGTCAAGTCTCTGGACATGGGAAGCATGCTGCTTTACCTATTGGGCGGACCTCTTCTCCGCCTCGGTCTGGCGTACGTGCAGCTGACGCCAAGGTCGCGACAGCCTTCACAGATTCTCTCGTTATCAGCCACGCGACACTATGGAAGGTGAGCCGGATACCCCAAGTCGAAGCCTGCCATGTATGGAATGAACACACCTTGACTTTGCGGCTGCGACAAAGGTCGCAGGCCTTCTTTGTCCGTGGTGCATCTGCCGCAGGGCTTGTGGGATCGATCGATGTCCGCGAAGTTGGGGTCAGCTGCGACATGCTGGTCTGGTGGAGAATCTGGGGAATCAGACTCTGGGATCTGGAGAACGGCGGAGGTGAATGAGCGACGGAGAGTTCATGTTCTTGAGGGGAGAGAAACGCCGATGAAAATGCGATCCGAGGACGGCACGAGAGACGAACTAGTCGCATTTTCCTCGGCGAAACGCATCGCCCTGCCGCCTCGAGCTGGACTCACTAGTCTGTTCTCGACTCTGGAATCGGTTCATCAATTGAACGAAGAGCCGAGATTGGCTGGCAATCCGTTGGATTGGCACCAAGATTCCACTGACCACGAGTTCTGCCACGCTTCCCCACACTCTTCCCGCTGTCTGTCTTGCATCCAACGTCTTTACTCCAGATCCAGCAAGCCCTTCCCCATGGGCCACCATGAGGGAATGGAGATAAATAGGGCGCTGCCTCGCTGCTGTCCTACAACTCTCAGCTAGCAATTCAAGGTACACAGGTCGCAGTCTTCAGTGAAAGCGCACTCTGCACTCTCTACGAAGTACGAACAATCTCCTCCTCCTCTCACCAGACCCCTTCAACCGTACACCAAGGTCGCCACCATGAAGCAGCCAGAAGCCCATCAATCCGAGTTCGTCGAGACTGCCACCCATGGGGAACAGGATGCCCTGGGCCGCGCCGTCCAGCAGCAGGAGAAGAATCGCACATGGTGGCAGACTTTGCGCCAGGACCCATGGTTGTTGCTCTGGGCTGGCGTGATGCTCTGGACACTCATCGTCCGCGGGTTCGAGAGCCAGGCATCCGGCAGCGTCATCAGCATTCCCGTCTTCAAGGAGAGATTCGGCAAGATCAACGAGGACGGCAGCTACTTTATCGAGACGAAATGGCAGTCAGCTCTGGGCGGTGGTGCTACAGGCGCTAGCATCGTCGGCTCCATCGCTGGCTCGTGGCTCTCTGACAAGTATGGCATCAAGCCGGTCGTTATTGGTGCCACAGCCATCAACATTGTCTCTGTCGGCATTGAGTTTGCATCCACCTCGGTCGCCATGTTCTTCGGTGGCAAGATGCTCAACTTTGTGGCCATTGGCATCTTCCTCACCACTTGCACCAGCTATGTCTCCGACATTGCTCCTCTGGCCATCCGCGCCACCCTCATCGGCTTCTGCAACCTGTCGCAGTGCATTGGACCCTTCATCGCGGCCATTATGGTCAATTTTACGTCCTCCTGGAAAACAGATTGGGCGTGGAAGTCCTTGGTCGCTACACAATGGGGCTTCGCTGCCATCGGCTTGGTCGGACAACTCTGCATGCCAGAATCGCCTGTGTACCTGGTTGGAAAAGGCAGGGCGCAGGACGCGCGCAAGGTGCTCGAGCGCATGTACTCGGACCCTCGCGACGCCGAGGCTCATCTGGAGCGCATCACGCTCACCCTCCGCGAGGCCGAGACGCAAGACTCCATGTCGTATCTGGACTGTTTCAAGGGCACGAACCTGCGGCGCACCATGATCAGCGTCTTCGTCTTCATGTCGGAGGCCATGTCCGGCCTTGGCTTCATCTCCAACTATGGCGCTTTGATGTACCAGTATCTCGGCATCAGCGACGCAAAGTCTTTCCAGCTGCAGATCGGCGGCCAGATTCTGTCCATCTCGGGCGCCGCGATTGCGCTGCTCCTGTCTGACTTCATAGGTCGTCGCCCCATGTTCATTGCCGGCTGTGCGGGACTTGCTGGTCTCTTGCTGTGCATGGCCATCTCCGGCAGCGTGAGCACCAGCGCGGCCGTGACGGCGTCTGTCGGCTTCTACACCATGTTCAACTTTTTCTACAACGTCGGCGTTGGCTCTACCGTCTACGCAATCGCAGGCGAGATACCGACCTCGATCCTTCGAGCCAAGACCCTCGCCATCGCGTTGTCTACATCCAACGCCCTCAACACCTTCTGGTCTTTTGTGTCGCCTCTCATGTTCAATCCGGGGTACGGAAACCTCAAGGCAAAGATTGGCTTCGTCTTTGGCGCCATCATGCTGGTCTTTGTCGTCCTCGCGTACTTTTACGTGCCAGAGACGCGCATGCGCAGCTACGAGGAGTTGGATGAGCTCTTCATGAACCGTGTGCCAAGTCGCCAGTTCAAGAAACACGTTACCGTGGCGGAGCAGAGGGCAGCTGAGGCCTACGATGAGAAGCACGGCTTGAAGGGGGGAGAGAAGGCCAATGTGTAGAGGTTGGACGGTGCTCGGCGGTACGCAGTTTAATTTGCGCATGCTCAGACTGTGTCAAGAGTTCAAGTTAGCTCCTGTCTGTTTGTCTCGATACATTACTATCCCACGTCATTGGCTTAAGTTGATCTCCATTTTGGACGCGTTTCGTTGTTTGGTGAGACACTCCGCCCAGTCGACAACAGATCTTCATGCAGCGGATGCCTGATGTTTACTAGTGTCTATATCCCGCGCGCACTAATGGCAGGCGGTTTGTCTTGACGTCATTAGGCGCTTTTACTTGGAAATGAACAAGAATTCAAGAATTGTGTCTTGACTATCGATCGACATCAATGGCGAGGAAAGCAACGCGTGGTGGCCTCAATAATTGATATACATCACATAGGCACCGAGGCGCTGATCGTGTCGGTGATCAGCGACACTTACACACCAGTGACACCACGCAATCTTCAAAATGGAAAACTTAAAGTCGGACTCCAACAAGGTCGATCCAGAGACGGAGAAAAAAGTCGTCGACGAGGCACAGGCAGCCAAAGACGCGCAGGCAGAGGCAGACAACCTCAAAACTCAAGCAGCCGAGGGCGAGCAATAGGTGGGCACCCGGGTGCCCAAATAAGATTGGGCACCCGGGTGCCCAAATAAGATTCCTTATGTAAGCAACAGCCAATCTAGGGCACCCACCTATATCAACGACTTACACCATATCAACCCATT